CAAACCTGGCCTTTGGGGGAAAACTAAAAAGCTCCGATGCCGCTTCTCCCCGACCTCTCCTGGGGTGCGTTCTGACCAGAATTTCAAAGCGAACTTCAGGGTGGCGACGAGGGCCTCCCAGGAGGCCCGAACAGGGGAAAACGAGGGAAGGGTAGTGCTATGGGTACCTGTTCCTCCTCTGAATGCTCGCTTGGTATTCGGGCCCCCCGCGAATCGATCCAGCTCGAGCAGTGCCGCAAAAAGCTGGGAGGAGCCTACGAGAAGGGCGACAAATTGCGCACTCCACAGACCCTCAGCTAACCGCGAGGTCTCGGCTGGGTCCGCGTGTCCCCCCACTCCGCCGTGCCTACCAAGAGCCCACGAAAGTGGCGACTGGTGCGCATTTCGCACCCCCCCCTCAGGGAACCGCGAGGTCTCGGCTGGGTCGCCTCCCGGGAGACACGAACGTGGCGACGGTTGCGCACTTCGCAGCCCCCAGGAGGACGCAGAAGATGCAGGAGAGCCCACCAGATGCAGGAAGAGGTAGACAGAGGAGGGGGTGGGGAAGGAGACGTGCGAGCGGTGCTCTCATGAAAAACGAGAACCCGACGCACAAGAGGGTCGGGACAAAGACCTACACAGACGTCAACCGTCCGAGGTCCGCGCGGAGTTCCAGGACTAAGTCGGGCCTTTCCCCCTACAGGGGGATTTTGGACGAAAAACGAATTACCCTGGCGACGTACCCAACCCCTGCGCAAACGCGGGGCGCAACTTTATAAGGGGGGCGATGACGGAGCGAGGGTTACATATGTCTGCAGACGGAATTCGGGAGACTCGCAGGACACTGGCTACAGGACAAGGACTAGATAAAGCTGATTAGTTACAATCCCTGAGCAACCCAGGCCACTTGAAAAGCGGGGATCTCAGATCGCAGCCCCCCAGGGATGGCGAGGTCTAATTTGAATCCGCCCGTGGCGTCACTGTGCTGGGCCCCCCAGCAGGCCTCGAAAGTGGCGACAGTTTCACAGATCGCAGCCCCCCAGGGATGGCGAGGTCTAATTTGAATCCGCCCGTGGCGTCACTGTGCTGGGCCCCCCAGCAGGCCTCGAAAGTGGCGACAGTTTCACAGATCGCAGCCCCCCAGGGATGGCGAGGTCTAATTTGGGTCCGCCCGTGGCGTCACTGTGCTGGGCCCCCCAGCAGGCCTCGAAAGTGGCGACAGTTTCACAGATCGCAGCCCCCCCAGGGATGGCGAGGTCTAATTTGGGTCTGCGCGTCGCCTCACTGTGCAGGGCCCCCCAGCAGGCCTCGAAAGTGGCGACAGTTTCACAGATCGCAGCCCCCCAGGGATGGCGAGGTCTAACTTGAATCTGCGTGTGGCGTCACTGTGCTGGGCCCCCCAGCAGGCCTCGAAAGTGGCGACAGTTTCACAGATCGCAGCCCCCCCAGGGATGGCGAGGTCTAATTTGAATCTGCGCGGGGCCCTCACTGTGCTGGGCCCCCCAGCAGGCCTCGAAAATGGCGACAGTTTCACAGATCGCAGCCCCCCAGGGATGGCGAGGTCTAATTTGAATCTGCGCGTGGCCCTCACTGTGCTGGGCCCCCCAGCAGGCCTCGAAAATGGCGACAGTTTCGCAGATCGCAGCCCCCCAGGGATGGCGAGGTCTAATTTGAATCCGCGCGTGGCCCTCACTGTGCTGGGCCCCCCAGCAGGCCTCGAAAATGGCGACAGTTTCACAGATCGCAGCCCCCCAGGGATGGCGAGGTCTAATTTGAATCTGCGCGTCGCCCTCACTGTGCTGAGCCCCCCAGCAGGCCTCGAAAATGGCGACAGTTTCACAGATCGCAGCCCCCCAGGGATGGCGAGGTCTAATTTGAATCTGCGCGTCGCCCTCACTGTGCTGGGCCCCCCAGCAGGCCTCGAAAATGGCGACAGTTTCACAGATCGCAGCCCCCCAGGGATGGCGAGGTCTAATTTGAATCTGCGCGTCGCCCTCACTGTGCTGGGCCCCCCAGCAGGCCTCGAAAATGGCGACAGTTTCACAGATCGCAGCCCACCCCCCCAGGGATGGCGAGGTCTAATTTGAATCTGCGCGTCGCCCTCACTTTGCTGGGCCCCCCAGCAGGCCTCGAAAATGGCGACAGTTTCACAGATCGCAGCCCCCCGCAGGCAAGACAGGAAGAGGCAGGGAGGGAGGGAGGAGGAAGGAAGGAAGGAGTGGAGACCACACTGCTCTATTCAAAACGAATACCCAACCAAGGAGGGTTGGGAAAAATAGTCAAAAAATACCCCCACATCATTAAAACATGCTCAAAAAATCGTCCTCATATTTTTTGACTATTTCTGAATATTCCTCATGTAGAGGGACAGGCCCGACTTAGTTCCAGGATCTGCGCAGGACCCCCCCGCCTGACGCGCGGCGCCGAAGCCGCCGCCAGCGGGGTCGAGTGCCGACGCAGGGGCGGCGCGGAAGGCACCGCCACGGGGGTCCAGCACAGATCCGAGACATCCTCGACAATTCTTGCGCACGCCACGACAATGGACACCCTAACAGTCCTATCATCGAATTAAACATGTGTTTAAACTGTCGGACAAATGTCCTGGACATGTTTAAAACGTGCTTTTCATATGTAAAACGGCTTGAATACATGTTCTAGACATCTGGACAGTATTTGGCAACACGCTTCCTCTCCATTGATCGTCCTCCACAAGAAAATTCAGTGCCCACTCTTCTTCGGCGTGTGAGGCCATGCGGCCCTCTTCGGGGTCGAGCACAAACCCTTCCGCAAAACTCGTGTCGACCGACGAGGCGCGCCGGGCGCGTGACGCGAGGCTGGGGAAACCACAAGGTACCGATGCCGCCACTCCCCGGACCTCTCCTTGGGTGCGTTCTGACCAGGGTTTCGAGACGAATCCAGCGGTGATGACGACCGAGGCCCAGGAGGCCCGAAGAGGGGAAAACGAGGGGAGGGTAGAGGTATGGATACCTCTTCTCTGAGAGTCACGATTGGACAAAGAGGCCCGACCGACGAGAGTCGACAGGGAAGGGGCGCGCGAGCGGCCTCGGGCCACGGGGACTTGCCGTGAAGTGCCGGGTGCAGGACGAGCAGGAGCAGGCCGACGAAGAACTGCAGCCAAGACGCTGCCAGAAAGAACCCTGAGATAAGGAACGAGGCCCCTCCTCTCCACAAGCTTCGATTTCCCACGGCAGGCCGGAGGAACACCCGACACAACCTGCAAGACAGCCAAGGAACACTGAGCCCCTCCCCAACGAGAAGGGCTCTCCTTCCTCCGCGGCCCGACGCGGGCGCCGCTGGGGGCCAGCCCCCGGCGGGCGCAGGCCCGCGAAGGCTGCGGACGCGGCGCCCCCTCGAGAGCAGACGAGGGGCGGCTCGCCCATCGACCCGGCAGGGCGGAGGCTCTGCCGCTGCGGTCGCCGCTGCCCCGCGGACCCGCGGGCAGACCGCCCCAGCACGAGGAGGAGGAGGAGGAGGAGGAGGAGGAGGAGGAGGAGGAGGAGGAGGAGGAGGAGGAGGAGGAGGAGGAGGAGGAATGCTATGGAATGCTATGAAAGGGACAAATGTCCAGCAGGCTCCCCAGGGTGGCGCATGTACCACTTCCGCCACCTGGGAGCCACTCTTCTCCTGGCACCCCAGGGCGGCGCCGTCCGCCACCAGCGAGCTCCAACCTGACCCCGAGGGGCCCGCCACAACACACCAATCCACCGACCCTCAAGGGGCCCTAATCCATCATTACACTCCGACAGCCCCCTCACGCGTGGCGATGGCTCATGGCTTACCGCCTGCATGGCATCCTCCAGCGTCCTCAAGGCAATCTGCGCCTTCGCGAGTGTCCGAAGAGCACCGTCGTCGTAGCTCCACTCGCCCTCCTCGGTGATCGTCGCGATCTTCCGCCCCAGGTTGCACGCGAGCTTCGTCATGATGGGGTTGACAATGCCCTCTAGCTCGTCATGCTTGCTCTCGATCTCAGCCTTCCCCTCGAACAGGGCCTGTTCCAGCCAGTCAATGGTGGGAAAAATCGCCTTCACGACCTTCTCCGTGTCGCCAACCTCGAGGTTGTGCTGGAGCTCCTCCTGCAGGAAGGTGTTGAGCATGGTGGAGCAGTAGTTGGCGAGGCCGAACACCGCCTTATCCTCCAGCGTGTTCTGCTCGCCCTTCTGCTGCACCATCTCTGTCTCGTCCACCATTGGCGGACCAGCGGAAGTCGCATCCTCGTACTTGCGCCGCTGCGGCTCCTTCTCCTCGAGCTTGTCCTGCGGCTTCTCCTGCAGCGCGTGGCGCAGCTGGGTTTCGGCGTCCGTCTTCTGGAGCTCCACGCCCGCCTCACTGCCGACCTCCGTCTCCTCGGTGCCCTTCTCGAAGACCTGGTCGTCCGTGGTGTTTCCTCCCGTGACGTCCTGCAGCGCCTCCACGGACCTCGGGGACTCGGCCTCCTTGCACTCCCTGGTGCCCTTGCCGTCATCACGCCACACCCCAGGCCCAGCTCCGAAGCCATGATGCGCAGCCCGATTGCGCACGCGCCTCCGTGAGCCTGGGACGTTGGCCCTCAGGCCCGCCGCCCCAGCCGCCACATGCATGCGGATCTGGGGCTTGATGTCGTCCAGCCGCTCCTTCGTCTCGACGTCGACCGCGGAGGGTTCGAGGTCGCCCCGGAGCACTTCCGCCGCCACCCGGATGGCCGCCGCCGCCGCAGCCGCCACGGTGTGCCGCGGTGCACCCGCCACACCGCGCATGACCCCTTCCACGATGACCGAGAGGTCTGGGCCAGCAAGCCCCATGCCGCTGCCCGCCCGCGCGCAGAGGGGGCTGGCACGGCACGCGGCGACCGCGCCTTGAGCCAAAATGGCTACGAGAAGGAGGAGGAGCGAGGAGGAGGAGGAAGAGGAGGAGGAGGCGGAGGAGGAGGAGGCGGAGGCGGGAGGAGGAGGAGGAGGAGGAGGAGGAGGAGGAGGAGGAGGAGGAGGAGGAGGAGGCGGAGGAGGAGGAGGAGGAGGAGGAGAGGAGGAGAGGGGGGAGGAGGAGGAGGAGGAGGAGGGAGGAGGAGCGGAGGAGGAGGAGGAGGGGAGGGGAGGGAGGAGGAGGAGGAGGAGGAAGGAGGAGTAGGAGGAGGAGGAGGAGGAGGAGGAGGCGGAGGAGGAGGAGAGGAGGAGGACGACGAGGACGAGGACGAGGACGAGGAGGAGGAGGAGGAGGCGGAGGAGGAGTGGAGGAGGAGGAGGAGGGAGGAGTGCCACTGGAGAGGAGGAGGAGGAGGAGGCGGAGGAGGAGGAGGAGTGTGCCACTGCGGTCGGGGACTTTTACTCAGCGTGTCGCGGCAGCGGCCTCGGCGACACGCTGTGCCCTGCAAGGGGACAGCGTGTCGCTCAGCGCCGCGGGGCGAGAGGCTCGGCAGGGCTGCGGACGTTGACGCTCAGGAACTGGCTACCTGTCCTTTTGAGCCTGTGCTCCCGAATGCCCAGGGTCAACTTTGAATAGAGGGGGGGACGGGGTGAACAGAGCCAAGGACGCCAAGGTGGAGGAGGAGGGAGGAGGAGAAGGAGGAGGAGGAGGAAGAGGAGGAGGAGGAGGAGGAGGAGGAGGAGGAGGAGGAAGGAACGAGGAGGAGGAGGAGGAGGAGGAGGAGGAGGAGGAGGAGGGAGGAACGAGGAGGGTGGAGGAGGGAGGAGGGAGGAGGAGGGAGGAGGATGAGGAGGAAGGAGGGGGAGGAGGAGGACGAGGACGAGGACGAGGACGAGGTCCATCCACGGTCCCAGGGCGCACGCCGACCAGAACTTCGAGGGGAATCCGGCCGGTGGCGACGGAGGGGCCTGCCACACGACGCAGGAGGGCACCGGCGAGGCCGAGCAGCCCCAGGAGGGGCCACCGGACAGCACGGGGGAGGGCGGGCGAGAGGAGGCCGGGGCAGCCCGGGGGCAAAGAGCCGATCACCCTGCAGAGCCTGGGCGCGTTGGCGCACTCGACGGGGCACGGCGAGGGCGAGGGCACAGACAGGCGAGAGGGAGGAGGGAGCAGGGAGGGAGGAGGGATGGAGGGAGGGAGGATGGAGGGATGGATCCAGGGAGGGATGAAGGGAGGAAGGCAGGAAGGGAGGAGGAGGAGGAGGAGGAGGAGGAGGAGGAGGAGCAAAAGGAGGCGGGAGGATAAGGAGGCGGGAGAAGGACAAGGCAGGAGGAAGACGCGGGAGGAGGCAGGAAGGAAGGAGGGGAACGAGGACGAGGAGGACGAGGCTACCCCCTCCTTCCCACCCCTGCCCCAGCGCAGGCCTCTCGGGCTTAAGTCAGTGGCTCCATGCCGAGCGCCACGCCCTCGCCGCCGGCGGCGTGCCGGCGGCCTTCGACGGCGTTCGCTCCTGGACGGGGCGAGGGGTGGGGGAGGTCAGTCGGACGCAGGCTGGTGGCGCTCGGTCGTGGTCCTCCTCCTCCTCCTCCTCCTCCTCCTCCTCCGCCTCCTCCTCCTCCTTCTTGTCTCTGGGTGTGCAGATCACTGCGACTTAGGAGCCAAAAGGGGATTTTCTGGCTACGGCGAGCCTCGGTCACGAAGAGGCCCCCCGGCGCACGTGTAAGGAACGGCCCGAACCCCGAAGCCCCTCCTGGGTACAAAGTGCCTCTTATTGCCGCGTCTTGACTGCAGTGTGCGCACATGCTCTGAGAAACTGGGAAAGAATCGGCTTGGCAATCTTCGAGCCACAGGGTGGCCGCGAAGTGCCAGGGAGCAAGAGGAGGATTCAATCAGAGACGACTGGGGCAATCGGCATCACGGGCGCCAGCGCCCGTTGGTAGAGCCACGTGTTGGTTGCACACCTCAGGCGCGGTGGCTCCCAGTGTCTGGGGCTGCCCTCTGCCGTCCCTGCACGAAGACCTGCGCGATCTCCAACCCTGCGCGCTGGTTCAGTGAGGGAGGAGGATGGAGGATGAGGAGGAGCAGCAGCAGCAGGAGCAGAAGAAGCCGGAGGGACGGAGCGAGGAGGGGAGGGAGCGAGGAGCAGTAGGAGAGGAAGGGAAGGAGGAATGGAAGGAGGGGGAGGAGGAGAATGAGGGAGCAGAGGGACGAGAGGGAGGGGGAGGACGAGGAGGAGGACGAAGATGATCAACATTGTCGTCGTCATCAGCTCCTTCATATTATGTTCACATCCCTCCTCACCATCACCGTCATCCTCAGCATGCCGTCGACATCCCCATTGTCCTTAATCTGCATCGCCATGGTCATCGTCGTCGTCATCTTTGTCGTCATCATCTTCATCATCATAGCGGCAGTATCAGCAGCAGCATCAGCATCATCATCAGCATCATCATCATCAGCAGCATCAGCATCAGCATCACTATCACCATCGTCATCATCATCAGCAGCAGCATCATCACCATCACCATCATCATCATCCTCCTCCTCATCCTCATCATCATCAGCAGCATCATGAGCAGCAGCATCATCAGCATCAGCATCAGCATCAGCATCAGCATCAGCATCAGCATCAGCATCATCAGCATCAGCATCAGCATCAGCATCATCATCATCCTCATCATCATCATCATATCATCATCATCATCATCCATCATCTTCCGCCTTCAGTGATCCTTCCCTCCTTCTCCTCCTCCTCTCCTCTCTCTCCTCCTCTCCTCCTCCTCTCCTCCTCCTCCTCCTCCTCCTCCTCCTCCTCCTCCTCCTCCTCCTCCTCCTCCGCATTCTCCTCCACCTTCTCCTGTTCCGACAACGGGAACGACAACGACGGCCACCACGACAACCACGACGACGACCACGACGACCACGATGACGACGCCGACCACGACGACGAAGCCCACCATGACGCCGACCGCGACGACGACGACGACGACGACGAGGACGATGACGACGCCGACGACGACGACAGCGACGACGCCGACGCCGACGCCGCCGACGACGACGACGCCGACGCCGACGACGACGACGACGACGACGCCGACGACGACGACGACGACGACGACGACGACGACGACGACGACGACGAGGCCGTCTCCTCTGGCCTGACCCGGGTCGGCATGCTGGCCCCTGGCGTTGTCGCGCTCGCCCCGCTCGCCCCGGTGCTCGCCTGGCGGCCCCGGTGGCTCGAAAAGGAGGCGGGATCAGTGCACACTCGCCTGGCAGATGCCCCCCGCGCCAAGGCTTCCCCCCTGCCACCATCGGCTGCACGTAAGAGTGACCCTGGGCAAGAGTGACCTTTGGTGCGCGGCCTCTGTGGGGGCGTGGGGGCGCGAGGCCAAACACAGGCGCGCAAGACGCCACGATCGCACCGAGCGCGGCGATCGGGGGACCCCAGTGAGCGCGCACCAAAAAGTCACTCCGGCGAAGGGTCACTCTTCCGTGCAGTCGAGTCCAACTGATCGCAATTATCGCGCGTCTATGGGACGTCGCAGGCTGGCCACCCACAAGTTGACTACAAGCAGGGTGCGGCTGCCGTTGACTGGACAGAACTGCCTCAAGCGGGGCGCAATCTCGACCCGAGAAGCCAAAGCGGGCCACCAACCTTCCTCCTCCCTGGACATCTCTACGTGTCCCGAGGGTCTCAACGCAGAGTCGCAAACCTCCCCAAAAAGTCGAGCCTCAAACCTTTAAAGGGGCCCCAGGATACACAAATGAATACACACAAATAAAAATATTCCCCATATTTTCCTATATTTCTTGGGTTTTTGTCTTCCCTCCCACTTCCCATATTTTTGCATATTTTCCTGGGAGTCGACGATTAATCGTGTCTGTGTGTTTCTTTCCCTCCTGAACCTTGCCGTCGCCCTACACAATCAGCTCGACATCGGTCCCTGCACCCCTCCCCGGGCTCGTCCAGGCCAGCATGTCGAGCTGCGCCCAGCCGCGGCGACGAGCAACCCCGAGAGAGGTGCAAGCAGCAGAGTCCGAAACGAAGGCCCGACGTCCACGTCGCCGTCGGCGAGCCTCGATCATCGAGCATCCAAGCTGAGGGGGAACGTCAGAGGGGGGGACTTGAAGGGGCCCCAGGACACACGAATAAATACACGCAAATAAAAGCAGATTCCCATATGTTCCCATGTTTTCTGGGTGTTTGCTGTTCCCCCCCACTTCCCATATTTTCCTATATTTTCTGGGGAACCGACGATTAATTGTGTCTGTGTGTTTGTGTCCCTCCTGAGGACTGGCTCATGGGGGGGAAACGTCCAGCTCGAATCGGCGATGGATCGGCGAGGGGCCCCTGACAGCGAACCCGCACGCTCCCGGGCGGGGTGGGCTAAGATCGTGCCCCCTGTCAGCGATCGGTGAGCGAATGCGGGCCGAAACTTCCCCCAGACTGTTGGCCCAGGAATCCTCGTCGTCCGGCTTTCGGATCATAACTCGGGCCTCATGGCCTCCGGCGGCCGTTCAGGAAGGTCTGGGCACCCGCGGGGCCTGGAAGACCTCCCCCAAAACCGACGACGACTGATGAAGACCTCGAACCCCGACTCCGAGAGAGTCGTCCCCCCCGAACCTACGGTCGGGAGCTCTTGCATGGCGTGTCGCGGCGGCAGCCCCGCGACACGCTGTGCCCTGCGAGCTAACAGCGTGTCGCTCGGCTCTGCGGGGCGGGGGACCCGTGAACGGCTCGGGACGCTGCTGCTCGGGGACTGGGGCGTGGTTGGCATGCCGCGCCGAAGCGCGGTGGACCAAGAACCGGCGGCGCGACGTGCCAAGCCAGAGTTTCCGACCGTGTCCCCCCCGACGTTGCCTCCCTGCTTAGGGAGCCCACAAAGGACGTACGCGCCCAGCTATGTACACGAACACGGCCCCTCGATCCGCGAGAATGGCCGCGTGATACCACCCTTCGGGCAATGCGTACTGTCGAAACCAGCGTGGATTCATGTACGTGTACTGTACGTCCTTCTCTCGCTCCTGACTGATCGTCGCCGTCGAAAACACCTCGACCCTCGAGGGCCTCCAAGCAACCCGCGCCGCGCCTCGGTCTTCGGGCGGCGGCGTGGACAGCGGCACCTGCGTGCCGAGCGTGGAGGCCGCAGCCTCGCGGGCGGCGGGGGGGAGGCCGCCGACGGCCGCCGCCGAGGTGGGCGGCGCCGAGATTCGGCGGTAGGAGACGCCGCTGCCGTCGGAGGTCGTCGCCGTCGCCGGCGTCGTCGGGGTCGCGGTCGGAGTCACGGGGCTGCTGAACTGTTTTTCCCAACCATCCTGTGGTGTTGGGTCCTCGTTTTGAAGAGACGGTGCCCCGCGTTCCCTCCTCCTCCTCCCGCTGCCCCCTCCCTCCTCCCCCTCTTCCCTGCGTTTCACCCACCCAGTACAGCGCTTCGTGGCTCCATAGGGAGCTCCACCGAAGGCCCCAGTGCCCGCGCCCGCATGCGTCACGCACACCCATTTCGGCACACCCCTCACACGTTTCGTTGGCTCCATAGGGAGCTCCGCCGAAGGCCCCAGTGCCCGCGCCCGCATGCGTCACCACACCCATTTCGGCACACCCCTCACACGCTTCGTGGCCCCATAGGGAGCTCCGCCGAAGGCCCCAGTGCCCGCGCCGCATGCGTCACGCACACCCATTTCGGCACACCCCTCACACGTTTCGTGGCTCCATAGGGAGCTCCACCGAAGGCCCCAGTGCCCGCGCCCAGGTTTCATAAGGCTCCACAAGGCCCCAGTGCCGCGCATGCGTCACGCACACCCATTTCGGCACACCCCTCACACGTTTCGTGGCCCCATAGGGAGCTCCGCCGAAGGCCCCAGTGCCCGCGCCCGCATGCGTCACGCACACCCAATTCGGCACACCCCTCACACGTTTCGTGGCTCCATAGGGAGCTCCGCCGAAGGCCCCAGTGCTGCCGCCCGCATGCGTCACGCACACCCAATTCGGCACACCCCTCACACGTTTCGTGGCCCCATAGGGAGCTTAGCCGAAGGCCCCAGTGCCCGCGCCCGCATGCGTCACGCACACCCATTTCGGCACACCCCTCGCACGTTTCGTGGCCCCATAGGGAGCGCCACCGAAGAAGATATTCACAATTGCGGTACTCACAATTGCATATGGTTGGGTCCTTCGCCAGGATAATTTTGTGCTCCACGGGACACTAGGCGACGGTCGGCTTCGCTGAGAAGCACTTCCCGGAAGGCTGTACCATGCCCGATGAGTAGTCAAGGAATTGTGGCCACATGTACTTTACAAACCTGATGCCGCTCGTGGCCGTGCGCTGAAGACCGTCCCAGAAGAGGGGCACGGGGCTGTTGAACTGTATGATGATCCGCCACCGTGCCCTCGGGCACGGAGTGGGCGTGTCATCAAGTCCCTTGTTGTCGTCCCCAGTCCTCTGGAATAGGGATGCTTAAGGGACCCGGACCCTAGCGGGCCAAATCTTTTGAGGTCTGGGGCGGCTTGTCGCGCAACTTTTGCTGGTCCAGAGGGCCCCAGAGACCCCCAAGACGGCCCGGGAGGGCCCCGAGTCGCCGAACGATCGGTCCGAGACGCCCAAGATGGCCTCCAGACGGCCCAAGAAGCTTCCAAGACGCTCCAAGAAAATCTCCAAGAGGCCTCCCAAGAGGCAAAAATCACGGATTTCTCGAAAGGTGTTAAAAGGGATTGTGAAGTTCTCGCCTTTTCGGCTTCCCGACGCTCCAAGACGGCCCAAGGGGCGCCCAAGATGACCCCAAGCTGGCCCAAGAGGCCTCCAATAGGGCCCCAAAGCGGCCCAAGAGGGCCGCAAGACGGCCCAAGAGGCCTCTAAGGCGGTCCCCAAGACGGCTCCCAGAGAGGGCCCAGACGGGGGACCCGAACGGACATGTCGAGCCCCCGGCCCCAAGAAGCCCCAAGGAGGCCCCAAGAGGCCACCAAGAGGCCCCCAGAGGCCCCCACACACAAGAGGCCCCCAGGAAGCCCCAAGAGGCTCCCAGGAGGCCAACAAGAGGCCCCCAAGAGGCCCAAAACTGCCCCCAAGAGGCCGCCGAGAGCGCTCCGAAGAGACCCCAAGAAGCATCCCTGAGGACTCTGACCCAATCAAGGCACGGTGGCGGGATGGGCCGAAGGCCATTCGATCCGCCGCCCCCTGTTGGCTTGCCACAGGGGTGACCGGCATGCTGGACCATTTCGGTTTTGAGGTTGGTACATAATCCTATAGAAGTCTTCCCTGGGGTTCCGGCCCCGTCCGCTGGCCATCCTGAAGGGTGCATAAGACCCGGTTGCAAAGGTCAGACGGCTCCAAGATGGCCCAGGCTGGCCTCCAAGATGCCTCCAAGGTGGCCAAGATGGCCTCCAAGACGGCCCAGGAGGGCCCAAGATACTTCCAAGTCCGCCCAAGAAACCTCCACGACGGCCCAAGAGGTGCTCAAGAGGCCCCCAAGACGGCCCAAGAGGCATCCGAGAGATCCTCCAGGAGGGCCCGGGAGAGGCCTCCAAGAGGGCCTCCAGGTAGGCCCGAAGAGGCCAAAATCATTGATTTGTCTTAGGTTTTTTAAGGATTATGGCATTTGTTTCTTTTCGGCCTACCGACGGCCCGAGACGGCCCAAATGCCCCCAAAGATCGCCCCAAGATCGCCCAAGAGGCCTCCAAGATGGCCCCAGAACGGCCCAAGAGGCCCCCAAAACAGCCCCAAGAGGGCCCCAAGAGGGCCCGAGAGGCCAAGACGGCCTCCAAGACGGCCCTGGAGCACCCCAAGAGGGCCCCAAGACCGCCCAGAGAGGCCCACAAGACGGCTTCCGACGGCGTTAGACTTGCCAGGAGCTCACCAAGACTGCCAAAGAGGCCCCCGAGAAGCCCCCAAAGGCCCCCAAGAGGCCCAAGGAGACCCCAAAGATGCCTCCGAGAGGCTCCCAGGAAGCTCCCAGGAGGCCCTAAGAGTGTCTCCATGGGCTCCCAGGATGCCCCCTCCTCCTCCTCCATTCATTTTCCTTATAAAATAATTTCTCCCTGCCGCACCCCGAGGCAAGTTTTTAGGGCGGGCCGGGCGTTTCGCCTGACTTCCTCACAAGCAGAAAACGTGGCAACAGCCTCACAGATGGAGGGCAGATCATTTTCAAAATGTGGTTCTCGCCTCAGCGCCGCGCACATTCGCTCTGAAAATCTGCAAGAGCTTCACGGATTGAGGGCGGGTGGTTTTCAAAATGTGGCTCTCGCCTTACCGCCGCGCACATTCGTTTTAAGTATTTGCCGGCACTTCACGGATTGAGGGCGGGTGGCTTTCAAAACGTGACTCTCGCCTTACTGCCGCGCACATTCGTTGTAACATTTGCAAGAGTTTCACGGATTCAGGGCGGGTGTTTTTCAAAATGTGGCTCTCGCCTCACCGCCGCGCACATTCGTTGTAAATATTTGCAAGAACCTCACGGATTGAGGGCGGGTGGTTTTCAGAATGTGGCTCTCGCCTCAGCGCCGCGCACATTCGTTATAAATATTTGCAAGAACCTCACGGATTGAGGGCGGGTGGTTTTCAGAATGTGGCTCTCGCTTTAGCGCCGCGCACAGTCGTTATAAATATTTACAAGAGTTGCACGGATTGCAGGCGGTTCCTCAAGATGTGGCTCTCGCCTCAGCGCCGCGCGCACTCGTTCATAACACTTGGAAGAGTTTCACGGATTCCCATGGTACCAAAATTTTCTTTTGGAAAGATTCAGGATGATGCGGGCGCAACAGTTATGTTGATTCGCGGTGCTGAAGTCCCAGAAGTGGCGTTCTAGCACGGTTCCAGACCGTCAAGACGCAGCAGTCAGGTTGATCCGTTGCGTTGAATGCGTTGAAATCCAGAAAACAATGTTTTGGCATGCTTCAGGATCTTCAAGGGTGTCTTCCAACGAGGGGGTTCCCTGAATTGAAACGAACCGTTGTGGGGGCCTATGACGAGGGAGCTTGGAGGGAAGGTTAATCCCAACTTCGTTGATGACTCTTTGGTTTACACTGGTCCTCCTCCTCCTCCTCCTCGTCCTCCGCATCCTCCTCCGCCTCCTCCTGTTCTTCCCCGCCATCCTCCCCCAAGTGTTCCCCGAAGGGTTTCCACGACGGTTGGGGGAACGCATGGTCCAATAGCTTGGCGGAGATCTTGCCACAACGCTCGGCCACAGTGGCGATTCTAGAAGGCAGGAGGCGGCGGCACATTCCTGATCACGCGCCTAAGCGGTGCAAGGTACGTCTTTTTCAAAACGAGCCTCTCGCCAAAATGGCAGGCCCATATGGTGTTGACCTTGCAAGGGGACGCTTCTTGCGTTGACGAGCCAAAGCTTGTAAGAACGTGCGAGGAGGGGATTTCGGGTGAGAGGGTGCATTGCAGCATCGGTGATACGAGCTGGGTGTACCCTGGTCCTTCCGCTATTTCCGCTATTTGCCGCGGCATGAGGGTGATCCCTGCGCCGCATCGGGGGCGCCGTTGCGCCCATGCCTGGCCGCGCGCGCGGCCGACACGCTGGCGCCCTCGGCGCTGGGGGGGGGGGGGGCCCGCCCAGGGAGAGAGGAAGGAGGCCTCCCAGATGACGGGGTAGAGGAGGAGCGGAGTGGGGCGAGGCCTAGGCAAGCCTGCGAGCCAGGTGGCAGTCCGAAGGCCTCCGAGAGAAGGGGGGGAAGGGCAACGAGGGGAAACACAGGGAAGGAAAAGGGAGGACCCTCGGACTGCCTCGAGATGCCGAATTGGGATGTGGCCCGTCGCGCTGCCGCCCAGGATATCCGCCCCTGTCCAGCGGCTTATCCTTGCCTGGGCGGCAGCGCGCCGGCGCTGGGACCAGGTGGGCAGGAGGCCCACCTGGTGTGCCTCCCCCTAACCCCTCCAAAAGCAGAAGGCCAACGGTGAAGGATCCCTGGGCCAGGCCTGGATGAGAGCGAAATGGGGGTGAGGGGGAGGCACCAAATTACGGCCCCTAGGGGCCCCGTTGTCGCGGCCCCTTCAGGCGCCGTCGGCGGCTCACGGGCCCCGAGATCCGCGCCTTCTCAGAACTCGCCGTTCTGGTGGTCCTACCCTGGCCCTTGTCGAGGACGGTATTGGCGGCCCACTCCCTCGCCTCGTCAGCGTGGTCGGGGAGGCCCTCCTCCTCGATGGACGCG